GAAAAATTCGCGTTTCTCCCGTGTAAAAGTTCAAGGGGTACACGTATTGGTAAGCGCGAGGATCCCCCCATAGGTGACCTTACCCACTCCGCAGACAGGGGGGGCGCTGTAGGGGCAGGGAACAAGTAAAAATACAGTAGAAAACAAACAAAAGCATTTAGTCAGAAGTGGGGAGGATTGTTAAAACGGGGCTGAGAGAACGGAAGAAAAGTCTGAATACTCGCAAGGCCGGCAAGCCATCGAGGCACTGCTGAAGAGCGCTGCTTGGAAGCCGGCTCAGTTACAGGAACTACTGTTATTTGTCTTGGGAAGAGCTTGTTTCTTTCGAGCCGAGGACTGAAATAACAAACTATTTTGAGATTTGAATGTTTTCCTGCTCATACCGTGGACCTAGAGTGCATGCGGCATAGACCCTGGTTAGGTTAGGGAGTGCTCTAATGCCATTCTTGTTGGTTGTTCTTTCTCTCCCCCCTCATCAGGGCTGCCCAAGGAAATAAAGTGTTTATTTGAGTCCTGCGGGACTCCCCTTGACTTCCGGCGGAGGCGGAACTGCAGAGAGCGTTTGCTCCAGTCTCCCCAACTGCGTATCCAGTGTAGGGTTTAGGGTTTAGTGTTCGGGCCCTCTCTGCGCTGGGACGTTGACCGCTGCTCGTTTGCAACGGCATCAGAGGCTGTGCAATCGGAGGCTGCTATGGGGAAGTATGCTTTGCTGTTCCCTCGTCTTGTGAACAATGCACAGCTAAGGATAACACAAACCGCCAAAGTTTGTCCAAGGCAGCTGCTGGATGCAGCGCTGCTGGCACCTCCCCTCCCTTCTCTTGCGGCCTCTGGTTCTTCTCCCTTGCCCGACACACAGGAGGCGCCGCCCCCTTCCATGAAGGCAGACTCCTGCTTATCCGCAGCTGCCCAATGGCGCCCTATTTTCCCTCAGACTTTCCCCTCCAACGCACACCTGCACGAAGGAGCAGCGAAGGAGAGCCGCGTCTCCGAACATCAACATGCAAAAGCAGAACGGACGTGGGAAATACTGGAAATGCATGCAGTTGCGGCATTGCCTAGCCTGAGGTCCGCCTGCAGGCCCAAACCTCTATGCACAGCACCGCTATGGGTGCCCATGCACTATAAGGAATCAGTAAAGGTTTAGAAGGCCCATTTCTGTGCAGTGCTGCGAACTCGTCGTGCGTTCTAGGGCTTGGGGTTTAGGGTTATGCATGCGCTATGCTGCTGCCTCCGTTGGCTGTGTTCAGCCCAGCGGGGATCCTCCAGTTTCTGTTTCTAGCCTTAAGGGCGAATTTTCATCCCAAACACTTCCTTGCAGAGGTCCGTTGTGGCTACATACAACTCCTCCCAAAGGCCGCTGTCAGACAACTGACTGCCGCCTTTGAGAGTCTAGGGTTTAGGGTTTAGGGTTGCCAGAGGCCAGGACCCTCATCAGCTCGTCAGGGACGCATTTATGGCTACACATTTACCTGCATGAAACCGAGCGATCTGTGGGTTTTGTGATATGGAAGATTCTGTGCTGCTTGGAGGCGGTGCTGTGGGATTCCGGTGCAGTACCTTGCTCTTTGTCTGTGTTGCTGCGAGATGCAGCTACGACGCTTTGCGCTTGATGGTGAGCCTGCGGCTCCCCCCGTCGATACCTTTTGGTTGTTATGGACGGCTAACGACTTGGCACTCTTCTGCAAATTGTTAGCAGAGTCGGTCAGCCACTTGAAGCTTCGTAAAATCCCTTGTCCAGTTCCTCTGCCTATGCCCTGAAGAATTGCTATCTCGCTCCGCTGATTACCTTTACCCTGGATAAACAGGGTGGAAGGGAGGGGGCCCTTGGCCGGGGCGCGATCCAACTCTTCCCACAGTGCACTCTGCAGTGTGTGAGGGGGGATGGAAGCAGGGAGTTTGCGTGCGTGCGA